TTCACGCCCAAGGTGGTGCTCATCTTGGGCACGTCCATCCTGGACCTCATCGAGCTGCGCGCGCCCTTCGGCACCACGGGCTTCCGCCTCACCATGGCGCTGTCGGTGCCGCTGCTCTACAGCCTGGTGCGGGCCATCAGCGAGGCGGGCGCCCCTCCAGGCTCAGCGGGACCCCTGCTCCTGCAGCCCCAGCAGCACCGCGCTGCCGGCTGCTTCCTGGGCACGGGCCTGGACCTGCTTGACAGCTTCACTCTGGTGGAGCTCATGCTGGAAGGCCGCGTCCCGCTGCCGGCGCACCTGCGCTACCTGCTCATCGCCGTCTACTTCCTCGCCCTCGCCTCGCCGGTGCTCTGGCTGTACGAGCTCAACGCTGCGACCTCGGCCGTGTCGTCCTGGGGCCAGGCCTCGGGTCCCGGGAGCTGCAGCCGCCTCCTGCGCCTCCTGGGAGGCTGTCTGGTGGACGTGCCCTTGCTGGCCTTGCGCTGCCTCCTGGTGGTGAGCTACCAGCAGCCTCTCTCCATCTTCATGCTCAAGAACCTCTTCTTCCTCGGCTGCCGCGGCCTGGAGGCCCTGGAGGGCTGCTGGGACCGGAGCAGTCGACCTTCTCCCAGTCGGGCCCGGGGCGGCTACGGTGCTCCGCCCTCGGCTCCACCACCACCTCCACCACCACCACCACCACCTCAGGGAGGTTCCCAACTGGGCCACAGCATCTCAGAGAATGAGGGGGGCCCCATGGCTATGTAAATACCCTGCCCGTGGCTTCCCAGAACAGAGGAGGAAACCCACACAGGGGACCTTGCTTCGGAGCTAAGCGCCCCCAGCTCCCTTGTCTTCTGCCCTTCCCTGGCCCAGATTTGTTCAGACTGGTTGGGAAGCGGGAATAGCGTTCAGGTCTGGCATTTGCTTCTGCATCCCTTGAGTCAAGAGTGCTTGGAGGGAGACCAGGTAGTCAGTGGTGAGGACGAGGGCTCCACTTGTCGTAATCTGCCTTCTCCATACACTACCCGAAACCCAAGGGCCTCCAAGGGGCTGGATCCTTCTGCTACTTATTTTTCTCACCACTGCCCCAGTCCCCATCGAGGTAAGGAATGCCTAGGCAGGGGGTGCTGGGTGCTGCACATCCTCTTGACTTGGAAGTGCCAGTTTCTGCTAGGCTGTGTGGTTCAGTGGCCATTGCTCCACACTTTGAAGTTGACCCTGAATCCACTCTCCCTGTTTCCCTGATGTGTCCATTGGGTGTCTTCCCGTTGGTAGATGCAGTGTGTGTGTGTGTGTGTGTGTGTGTGATGTGTGCATGTGTACATTGTTTTCTTGTGTCCACCCAGTGGCCCCTTGCAATGGGAAGGAGACCTGGGGAGCCCCTGCCCCACCCCACATGCCACCACACTCCTCTTTCCTAACGAACGCGTGGTCATGAATTCCCTGAAAGAGCTGGGCTCCTGGGAATGGGCCCAGTTGATCTCCTCCAAGAGAGGAGCTCAGCAGGCTCTTCCTGAACCCTGCTCCTCTCTTCCCAGCATGGGGCGAGAAGGGACCTGTACTCTTAAGGATCAAACCACACCCTTTCTTGGGTGAGTGAGCATCTCTACCTCTGTGCTTTCAACGTTTAGCATCGTGTACAGATGCTGCTTTGCAAAAAAAAAGAAAGAAAAACCCACAAAAACACTCAGCATAAGTTGCATTCACTATGGTCACTGGATCCAGTGGGTTTAGTGCCAATATTATTACAGGGTCTATGGAGTTATTAGCCATTGGCCTGCTGGCCCCCCGCCCCCCTGTCCCTCTGTACCTAGCACTCTTATTCCTCTTGTGGTTTGGCACTGCTTGGGCCAGATCTTGCCTCAGAGCAACAGCGTCAGGGGGGCTCCTGGATACATGTGGTTGGGTCTCTCATGGGCTGAGAGTAAGGAACCCAATCCTTCATCGTTCCTCCTCAAGGAGGATTGGTGCAGGTCAGAAAGGGTAGTGGTGACCTTTCTTCTCTGTCTGGTCAAGGGATCTAAGGAAAAGGCTGCAAGGAGTTACAATGGGTGGTGGTGCTGTCTGTCCAAGCTCCACCCTTCCTCTATTGCTCTTCTCTCCAAGAGGTTGAAGACAAGAGGCATTCAAGGACTGCCCACAAGCAGCCTTGATGCGGGTTGTCCCTTTTGGACTCTTTGAAGCAGGTCACATGCTTTTAGGGGAGGTAAGCGGGCAGGCTCCTGGCGACATGGTGGCTAACTGCAAGGTTAGCAGTTTGAAACCACCAGCTTCTCTGTAGGAGGAAGATGAGGCTTTCTACTCCCGTGAAGAGTTAAAGTCTCAGACACACACTGGGGCAGTTCTATCCTGTCCCACATGGTCACTGGGGGTCGGCACATGCTCGATGGCAATGTGAAGAGTGCAGAAGGCCAGGAGATGTTTCCCTGCACCCCTCCAGAGAATAAGACGAGGGCAAAACAACCCAATGAAGAAGGTTTTGTTTCCCTTCTCGTGTTTGGGAAGTGAGTGTAAGAAACCCTGGACAAGGGACCAGGAGATGGACATCTGGTCCAACGGAGCTCTCATCTTTGAGAATGAGGCCGTTGGGTGAGTGATCTCAAAGTTCCCTTCCGGTTCCAGCATCTACTTCATGGGTCTCTGGAGCCCCATCATCAGGTTCTCCATAAAGGGGGGAGGGGAGGAGCCAGTCATTGTGGACAGTTCCCAGCTTCTGCGTTGGCTGGGAGAGCAGGGCAGAGGGCTGCCAGCCCATGGGCTGGAGTGGAATTACAGGGTTTGTCGTAGCTGCACTATCTCTGGTCCTTTCCAAAGGGAGGGGCCAAAGGTTCCACGTCACTGACCACTTTTTGGTCCAACAGGGACTGTCTTGGAACCAAGGACAAGTGGGGCTCTTTTCTCTCCAACTTCCTTGTTGGGGGCTTGCTGACAGAAGGAGAGCCATGTCATCAGAGACACTAGAAAGGCCAATGGCTTTTCCAGAATTTTCCTGAGCCACCCCCTACTCTTAGTGGGGAAACGATGGGGGGAAAGGTTTACACTCAGTTCGTATCTGGGCCCTCAGCTCCTTGTCCCACTCGGTGCAATACTAGCTGCCTGGATTTTGTAACCAGTTTTAGTTGTTTCAGTCGTCTCTCCTTGCCATCACAAACTCCTCTCCTCTTCCTTCGGATTCCACGTCCTCCAGGATCTGGGGCCTTGCCCCGGGTGGGCCTCCGAAACCGCCCCCCCTGTTCCCATGTCCTCTCTCTAGCTCTGTGCTGCCTAATCTCCATGACTGAGAAAGGACACTGTATCTGAGCCATGGCCTGCCCCTGCCCCTCTTTCGTTCTGCTGTTTGGACACTTCCTGCCCCGTCCCCACCCCCTGCACAGTGTCTGATTGTCATATCTCTGAGGGGGAGGCTATGATAGGTTCCAGTGATCTGCCACTTTCCTGAGTTCATCAAGAGACTGCTGGCAGCTGGGCCAATTCTGGCAGAGCCCGGGCTGATTCAGACTCTTTAGGACAGTCCCCAGCTTACCCCGGCAACCCCCTTCAAAAAATTGGGGCAAACAACTTGGGCCCCGGGGACAGTCCCTTCCTTCGGGTATGTTTTTCTGGGCTCCTTTTCAATGGCCTCACTCCCTACAAGAAACCACCCCTACAGCTTCTTGCTTCATGGATCTGTATGCAGGGAGCCACCGTGCCCCTCCTCCGTCCGAGGTGCATGCCGGCAGCTGTTTATCAGTAGAGAGTGCTGGGTTGAGATTCGAGTCCCCTGTGCCCCCCATTGAGCATCCAAGGTCTTACCTGTTTTAAAGGGGTTGGACTAGACCCTCTCTAAGGGCGCTTTCCATGTGAACATGCACAGGGCTGTGCTTGTGGAAGAGAGCTAGCTGGCCGCCAGAGCCCAGAAGGAGGAGGAAGTAGCACTTCAGTAGCATCTATTACAATTTCCCCCCCACCCCCCTCTCCCTCTCCTCTTTTTAAAAATAAAACCAGACTCTGTGCTGAAAATAAGAAACTTGAGACTTGTGACAAGCTTCCTGTGTGATTTGTTTCAAGATCTCTCCTGTCCCGGTTTCCTTGCTAAATTCCTAAGCTGTCATCCTGACATTTGCCATCCTTGTAGGATCTGCGGAAACACGGAGGGCACATCTTGGTGATTTCCTTCCAGGCAGCTGGCATGCTGTTTTGGGAGGAAGGTGGCTTTGACCTTGACCTAGTAGGTGTCGGGCCAGGCTTTCAGTAGCCTGGTGAACCCAGGAGGACTCTCAGCCCAAGAATGAGTTTCCCCACTCACCTGGACTTTCAAGAAGTACTTACCCAGAAAGGGAGGACACACTTGAGTGACTAATGCTCTTGCTCTCCTCTCTTACCCTGGTCCCAGCCAGGAGCATGGGTGCTCAGGTGTAAAACTGCCCAGCTTTTAAAAAACAAACAAACACACGGGGGCTATTACGTCTAAGCAGAACATTGGGTGTGCACCAAAATAAAATATGTATGTATACAAAACACACACACAATGGATACAGAGACAACCAGTACTATTCAAACTGCTGTGCGTTGTTACCCTAGCGTGTGGTGCGTCTGCCTGTCCCAGCAGCTCTGCATGGGTCTGACCTTGAAAGACTGTGCTGAGGTGCTGTGGTGTTGATCTTGACTCAAAGGGACCCCAGGTGACAGAGTTTGTTTGTAAGAGAACATTTATTACATCTTACACAGGACAAGGATAAGGCAACTCCAGAGACATCACACTCACATGAGGGAGACCATTGGCCTGAGGTCATAATGGGGTCTGAGGGTTTGCTTAAGGTGACCAGACGTCCCGCTTTTGGCGGGACAGTCCCAATTTTTGGTGTTTTAAAAAAGTCCAGATTTTTGGAAAGAATGCACGACAAGCTAGGGAATGGTCTATTTGGTTCATATAGACCAAATTTTTAATCAAGAACCGACACCCCCACCCCACCCCACACACCCCACCCCCGCCCTGGTCAATGGTGTCCTGCTTTAAATCTGGTCACTTTAGGTTTGCTGAGCTACACATCTTTGTGGGAGGCCAAAGAAAAAGATCACAAAAACATGGTTGGTGGCAGGTCACTCCATCATGGTGACTGGTGGGGCTCTTCCCCAAAGTGGGACTGGGGCCACGATTGGGGCATGGACATCATGTGAGACAGCGGTGCTTACAATTCTGGGCCAGAGGCCCCTCGGGTTTTCTTGACTGTCATTTTCACACAGCAGAAGACCGCTAGGTTTCACCCCCTTACAGTCCCTGGGTGAGGTAGAACCACCAACCTTTGGGTCAGCAGTCAAGCCCTTCCTCATCAGTGTGCCAACAGGGATCCTTGACCGAGTAGCATGAGAGAGGTACCACCACATGGTGAGGGCGTCCAGGAGCGGGAGCTTGGCTCTGTCACTTACTAGCCTTGGTCAATCAGCTGGCCCTTGAATTTTTGCCTCATTTATAAAACAAATTGGACTCAAACTCCAATGACCTACGTCACAGTGAGGTCGGCCAACAAAACCTGATGGGATGGAAAACAAACACGAAATGATTCAAGAACAACCTGAGGCTGTGTTTTCATGCCTCCCCAGATCTACGTGCAAAACAGGACGGTTAATCTGATGAAGTATGTTACAAATATTTATAAATTTCTTTTGTAGTTAAGCAAGCTAGCTCTCACTGATTGGGGTCACCTGGCACTTACCTGGAGTTACCTTGTCAAAGGTGAGGGACAGGTGGAGGAGTGATCTACTCGTGAGCCGGCAGTGCTGGGGCCACACTCAGGCTTGAGTCTGACCTTTAGTTCTGACCCTCAGGAAGAGCACTGAAATAGACAAGCATCACGTGGATGACTGTA